GTAGCCACTACGCTACCAGAGCTCTAGTTATTAGGTGCTGTTAAATCAGTTCCAACTCATAGTGACCGTATGCACACAGGATGAAACACTGCCTAGTCCTGATCCATCCTCACAGTTGTTATGGTTGAGCTCATTGTTGCTGCTACTTTGACAGTCCATCTTGTTGAGGGTCTTCCACTTTACCAACCATGATGTCCTTTTCCAGGGACTGATCCCTCTTGATAACATGTCCGAAGTATGTGAGATGACATCTTGCCATTCTGGCTTCTAAGGAGCATTCTGGCTTTACTTCTTGCAACATAGATTTGTTTGTTCTTCTGGCAGTCTATGTACTTTCAATATTCATCTGTAATACCATAATTCAAATGCATTGATTCATCTGTCGTTTTTCTTAATCATTGTCCATAGATTGTGCGATACATTTCTCATTTTTTCTGCCCTTACAAGCCATTAAAACAAATGACTGATAACTAGGCTATTTAGATTCTCTCTTGTTTTTTTCTACACTACTGTTTTAAACCATTTTTCTCCCTGTCTTAAAACCCTTTGCGGTTGAGTTGATTCTGACATATAGTGACCTTGTAGGACAGGCTAGAGCTGCTGTGTCGGATTTCTGAGGCTGTAAATCTCTCTTGAAGCAGATTGCCTCACCTTTTTCCCTTGAAGCTTTGAACTGCTGCCCTTTTGGCTAGCAGCTAGTGCTTAACCCACTGTGCTACCAGGAATCCTTCCCTCCTATCTTAGGAGTTCACAATAAAGTGAACTGGCTGTATAGATTTGATAAGGATAATATGTATGAAATAAATTTCTGATTTTGAAGCAAATTTCTGACTAAATATTCACTATCTGAAACAAATGTAGACAGCTGAATTTATTGCTTAGTAAGTCAGGCAAAGCAGATTACTGATCTTATTGGGTTTTGAAAGAAGCATTAAATTTAGGGATTAATGAGCTTTCATAGACGAGAGTGAATTAATGTCAGCCATAGATAAATGGTAACTCAGGTGAGATTTCTGGTTGGCTGGCTTTTGGAAGCATGTCTCCTGGTGTGTGTTTGTTGCTATTGGCTGACTTTCAGAAGACTTCAACTTTTTGGTTGATTTTCAAAAACATGTTCTCTGAGATGAGTTGACATATGTTGATTTTAATGTTGTTCTGCTGGATACCTGTTACTATGCTATATAGATTTATCATTCATCTATGAAATCAATTCACACTGAATTCTGTTGTTTATTTATTACCATCTAAAGAGTCCTGGTAAAGAGCATAGTGGATTATGAACTGGGCTGCTAGTCACAAGGTCAGCAGTTCAAATTTTTCAGTCACTCTGTGGAAGAAATAGGAAGCTTTCTGTTCTCGTAAAAATTTAGAGCTTCAGGAACCCTAAGCAAGGTAACTGTGAGTCAGAACCAACTCGATGGAACACACCACCACCAACATCAAAGGGTTCTGGTGGCACAGTGGGCTAGGTATTGCACTTATAACCATAAGGTCGACAGTTCAAACTGACTAGTCTCTGAGAGGAAGAACAAAAAGATTGTTCTGTTCCCATAAAGATTTACAATTTCTGAACCCTAAGAAACAATTATGATCTGCCCTATGGAGTCAGTAGGAATTGAAATAGACTCAGTGGCAGTGGTGGGTTTGGTTGGTTGATTGGTTATGTGCCGTGGAGTCGGTTCTGACTCGTAGCAACCCTGTATATGGTTTCCGAGGCTGTAAATCTGTACGGGAGCAGAAAGCCTCATCTTTCTCCCACGGAGCAGCTGGTAGTTTTGAACTGCAGACCTTAAGGTTCACAGCCCAATTCGTAACCACTACACTACCAGAGCTCCTTGGAAGTGGTATTGTGTGATTATGGAACTCAGGTGGCACAGTGGTTAAAATATTCAGTTGCTGATTGAGAAGTTTGTACTTACCAGCTGCAGATGTGGCAGTCTTTTCATAAAGATGTACAGCCTTGAAAACCTTATGGGGCAATTCTACCTGTCCTACTGGGCCACTATGAGTTTGAATGAACTCCAGGGCAGTGGGTTTGGGTTTTGGACATAGATCGATTACTCGTTTTATAAGTGTGGTGAATTTTTATTCTTAGTGAATAAAATAGAAGTGATATTGTTAAGGGTAATGGATGGAGAATATTTTAGGCCAATAGAATAGAACATTTAAAGGTTTAGAGACTAGAAAACACAGTGCATTTAAAGACTACACATATTGTAAATTAATGGGCAAAAATTGTTACAAAATATTTGAAGTGGCATTAGAAAATTTCCTGAAAGGCAGTTTCCTGAAAGCTTATCTAGTGAATTATACTTCTTTAGAAAGATCTTGGATGCCTTAAATTGGGTCTGTTTGTTAACCTCAGTTTGTTTCATTCATGCATGGGAAGCGGCAAGGCACGTTGTTGCTATTAGGTGCTGTGAAGTGAATTTCAGCTAATAGCTATCCTGTGCACAACAGAAGGAAACACTGCCTGGTTCTGAGCCATTCTCAACAATTGTTGTTAATTTTGAGCCCATTGTTGCTGACACCATTTCAGTCCATTTTCTTGAGGGTCTTCCTCTTTTTCACTGATCTTCTACTTTACCAAGCATGATGTCCTTCTCCAAGGACCGGTTCCTCCTGACAACGTGTCCAAAGTATGAGAGGTAGTTTCACCGTCCTTGTTTCTAAGGAACATTCTGGCTGGACTCCTTCCAAGACAGATTTGTTTGTTTCTCTGGTAGTCCATGGTACTATCAATACTCTTTGCCAACACCATAATTCATAATTATGTATAATGTGTAAACCAAATGCATCAGTTCTTCTAGAGTCTTTCTTATTTACTGTCCAACTGTAACATGCATATGAAGCATTTTATAATACCATGGGTTGGGTCAGATGCACCTTTGTCCTTAGAGTGACTTCTTTGCTCTTTAGTACTTTAAATAAGTCTTTTGCAGCACATTTGTTTAATGCTGTATGTTATTTGATATTTTCACTGCTGCTTCCATGAATGTTAATTGTAAATCAAAGCAAAATAAAATCATTGATAACTTTAGCCTTTTCTCTGTTTGTCATGTTATTGTTTATTGGTCCAATTATGAGGATTTTTGTTTTCTGAAGATTTTGTTTCCATTGATGTGCAATCCGTACTGAAGGCTGTAGTCTTTGATCTTCATCAATAAGTATTTCAATAGAAAAGATGTATTGAAGGGGAAGCTGCTTCTTAGTTGTTGGTGTTATGAAACATTTAAAGTCAACATTTAACTGGTGTGTTGTGGATTGATGCAGTGCCTTTTTTTGTTTGTAAGTTGATTATTTGAATAATTGGTTACATGTTGAACTAGCTTTTGGTGACTGATTTTACATGAGTCGATGTGTATCTGTATGTATTTCTGTATATGTAGCTGGGGAGGGGGAATATATGGAGGATAAGATGAATAATGTAAACTTACATCAATCATAAAAGTATTTCATATTTCATATGTCATATTAAAGAGATTGGACTTTATTTGAAGCCCTTGGTGAGCCATTGATGGTTTGTTTTGTTTTTTTTTTTTCTTTATTTATTTAATTTAAGGTTTTTATTATTGATTGAGTGAAAGTTTACAGGGCACATCATCAGTTTCACATTCAACAATTCATATAACTTGTTTTATTACATTGATTATAATCCCCTCCATATACCATCAGTTAAAAGTATTTCTCTTTATCCACTTTAGCTTTTTATAAAAAACACACAAACAAAAAACCTCACTCAGGCATATATAATAAATTACATCTCCAAAGGGCACATTCTGCAAGTCTGCCTCCTGGCCACCAGTTCTTAGTCCTTCTCTTCTTAGTTGATG